AGCTGCACAGAGGCAGAAACGTGCAGACAGTGGTGGCCCATTACTGCAGAGCTGCACAGAGGCAGAAACGTGCAGACAGTGGTGGCCCATTACTGCAGAGCTGCACAGAGGCAGAAACGTGCAGACAGTGGTGGCCCATTACTGCAGAGCCGCATGCCGCATGGGTGTGGGGAACGCGTGGATGTGACACAGAGGGACGTTGCTGGCACGGTGGCATGGCATGTAGGCGGCTGGCAGGGTGATGATCAGGGCGGCGGCGCAGAACTGAGCCTGTCGACAGGGCGTGTGACGGGAACGGGAAACTAGAATGCAGGCAGGGGCAGGTTTTCGGGGGGAAACTGGACACAGTTTGGGGGAAATGGGGAGCAGCGGGTGTCGCTCAGAGGAACAAAAGCTGATCGGCGAATGGGCCACAAGCCCCACACTCTTCTCGTTAAGGGAGTCTTGACAGATAAGTCGAATGTTCTTCAGTGGGGGGGATCGGAGCTCACGTCCGTAACCATGGCAAGGAATCAGGGAAGCAAAAGAACAGAGAGATCCTGCGGCCATGACGTAAAAGCAGGGAGCACTCGGAAATGCAGCGAGGATAACATCTACCTTTGGTTTAGTCCGAGATGTGGGATGTGAGCAGAGTTGGCGGGGAGGGGGGTGGTTGTAATAAATTCCACTTACATTTTATTGCCTAGGTGCATTTCGCAAATCTTGGGAGATGCATATTAGATGACATTTGCCAGCATGCAGTGATTTACATCGATAGCCAATGAGTGAGCTGGAAAAGGCAATCAGGACTATCTTGATTTTTGTTTTTCTGAGCGTCATAAATCATACTGAATAATCTGCTGTTTTTTTTTGGGTTTTTTTTATACAAATTATGGGAGCAAGCAAGAGCCAATCAAAGTATTATCGTTATCTTTATTGAAATCTTTGATTTCCATCTTGTTATCTGTCATAAAGTGAAATAAGCCCGTGTTTTGTACAGAACAAAATACTCTGCATTTAGAATTTCTCATTCACCTGTCTTCCAGGGGAGTATACAGGGGCGGAGTCACAGTGGCACTGGCCCCTTATGAAAGCTGATTGGCCGCAGAGTCTCCCCTCTTTTGTCAATCACTGATTCGAAACATATCATTGGCTAATGATAAGGTTGGGCTTTTTGTATGAAATATGGTGCCTTTTGTGATCCCCCTCCCCACTCACTTAGAAACTCCTAGAATTGCTCCTAGTTGCCACAAAGATGGACGTAAGTCTTAGAAATAAAGGGGGTTGGAGGGTCATAAATCGCAAAACTGGATGCTCTCCCCATTAATCTGTAACTGATAGACAGAAAACTCCCTGTTCAGCTAGAAAGGTGGGTCAGAATTGTACACTTGCTGGAATAGAATGATATGTGACACAGGTGGTGAAAAGACACTAATAATTTGCAATAGTTTAAGGTTAAATATTGTTAGACAATTTAATTTGTCTCCAATGGCGACGTTTACAATTATCTCACCAAAAATGGTGAGAGTCTTCACGTTGAACGGTTTTGATGAGGACGTCGTTTAGGGAGTTACACCTGAGGCGTCCGCGTCACCAGCACAGCCATGATTCCCGCGTCGTCCTTCTGGAAGCGGCGCTTCTCAGATCATAAACCCGCGAAAGAGCCACCCCATCCCTCAAGCCGTCAGGAGTTTACGGCCCTGTATCGTTAGGAAATCTCAGACAGGCACCAGAACAGCCCCCGAAACATAAAACTCAAGACACATGCTATATATCTCAACCGAGGTATTAAATCTGTGGGGAATCGTCGGCCAGAAGAGACTGTTTTTTTTTTTTTGTCTATGATAAGATCATGAGGATCTTGACCCTTTGGGGGCCAGAGGTGGCAAATTGTGAGGGGGTTGCGCCTCAGCAGCCTGGGACTCCGTTGTGACTAGAAGGGTGTCGGTTTTAATCTCAGGGCAGGCTGACTGATGGCACCATTGAGCCCTAGATCAAAGCCCTTACCACACAATAGTATGTCTCAAGGAGAGCTAGACGGGTGAAAAGAAGTATTCCAATGTACCAGCGCAAATGGCAAATAAAGCATTTCCATTTTTAATTTAATTTAATTTAGCTTAATTTGATTTCATTTCTAGAGGACTAGACCTCCTGTACCAGCACGGACATCACAGCACCAGTGAGGTCATTTCACTGCTTTCAGAACTTTTTCAAAACTTCTCTCAGCACTGTCTCCAAGAGGCGTGTATCTGACAGCTTGATGCATGTATGGACTACGCTACAGCACACACAGGTTAAATATAAATAAACATGGCATCATCTACCCGTATTGTACAGAGAATAAATCTCCTTGGAGCGGTGCAGAAAGACTGCCGGGGGGAGTGGGGGGGGGGGCTGCTTATGAGCTGGCACAATGCATCGTCACCTAAAATCCCTCTCCTGCTGCTCACAGAAATGGAAATCTCTTCTGCCTCAACCTGCCAGTCCTCATCCCCACTCTTATAAATTAAAGTCACACGCAGCTTAATTGACCACAAACATACGCATTCGTTTTCTTTTTTAAGCTCAGCGACGACAGGTGAGACGAGATACAACTAGGATGCTCAGTGACTGAAATGCAGACGACAGGAGACTTGGGCTGAGAGGCTGTGAGATCGGCCCACTTTCCCACCGAGACCTTGTCCAGTCTGGGCAGTAGCTTGCGAGTTGCGGCGATCGTTGGCTTTAAGAAGCTCGGCTGCATCCTGCAAGCTGCAAGCTTCCGTTCATCTTCCATAACAGACAGTCAAGTACAGAGTCAGGGTGGACAATATGCATGTAATTACATTCACTTGGCAGATGCACTTATCCAAAGTGACAGAGAGGGTGGGGGGACCCAAAGGTGAACTATGCTGACTCTGAGATTCGAACCTGCAACCCTCTCATCTCACGGCACAGCACTCTAATTCAGAGCCACATACCACCCCTACAATATGCACTATTTAATATGCATGTAAATTTCTGCGTGTAATAAAAATACTATGTTGGCTATTACAGCCACCGTAGACTAGAAAAGGTGATGTTCACGTGCTGTTTTCTAGAAGATACCTAAGATGTACGACCTTGGCATTTTTAATTTCAAATGTTGCTGTGGGGATGCCTGGATGGGCTGGTGAAGGAAAATATATATTTCTGTCTTTATGCTCTGCAGGAATAGCTTCGGGTGGGGTTGGGGGAGGGGGCACAGTTCTGTCCACCTGACAGATGCCAGGCTTGCCCTCTCCCTCAATCTTCACAGTTTCCTTTTGGCAGTGAATGCTGCTCTCCATGAAGATCAAATGTAGCTGTAGGTGAAAGGTGGTTAACCAAGGTGACCGCTACATAGAGGAAGCCGCCAATATGAGCTCTCTGCATGTGAGCGATACGGAAACAGAAGTGGACCGTGGAGGGTGCCATGCAGAACCAGGTCCCACAGGCACGGAAATCAACACTAAGTCAATGTCCAACACCCATTACCCCCCTCCTCCTCTCTTCTGATGGAAAGTCAGTGCATTAATCACGCTGCCATACCGTGTGTGCAAGCATGTCTGTAGGTGAGCGTGTGTGTGTGTGCGTGCGTGCAGTGCTATGAACTGGTGACTTCACAGTCTGCGGCATGTGGAAAAGGGTAAAGCCATTTCAGCCAGATAGAGGAGGGAATCCAGCACTTGTCTTAATCGTTCAACTATACAAACCAGACAATCTGGGCAATAATACAGGCTGCTGGTTAGTTTTTAGCACCATCACAGGCAAGGACGTATACAAGGGCGGGGCCGCAGGGACACTGCCCCCAGCTGAGATCTGATTGGCCCCAGAGGGTCCCCTACCATGTAACTCACAGATTCTAAATATACCATTGGCCAAAAAGAAGGCTGACCCTACAGTATGAATCCTGTGTGGTTTTGGGTGGGAAGGCTTCTCTGACGTCTGAAAACATGCCATTAAAGGCACAGGACAGGATTAAATGGACGTTAAAAGACATTCATTCCTTAAAAATCATCTGAATAAATAAGTGCTCGATCACCCCTGGGGTGCACAGGTGAGGTCACCGCACACCTTAGGATTCTTACGGATCCTGACTCCCGAGGTGAACTGGGGTTAATTTGGCAGCCAGCTGAATAATGGAGGGGGCCAATTAGGTGCACTGGGCTCACTTGTCACCTCCTCGCGACTCCGATCCGCAAGGACAGGCTCAGCGTGGCTTCCGTGATGCGGCTGCACTAGAAGAATTTAAGAGCTCGTTGAAAAAATATCCAAAGTCTGGCTCGGCCTCCTAGCAGGAAAAAAAACGTACAGGACAAGCACACACAAACACGCAAACAAGCATGCAAACACGCATGCACACACAGAGAGGCGGAGTCCTGTTGGGGTCGTGCTCACCTTTCTTGTCGCCGAAGAAGAGAGTCTGCTGTGCCGGGTTTGACCACTGGAGGGAGGTGTTGTCATTGTGTTCCACCCGGCAGGTCATGTTGGCCGTTCCGCCCTCTGTCACTGTCACGTTGTGAACGATGGGGAACTGGCTCTGGCTACCTGGGGGGGG